ATTACCCCACACAATGATGTCATCAATGTATTGCAGGTGTTCTGGAGCTCCACCCTTCTCCAGTGCAGTCTGGATCAGTCCGTGACAAACAGTAGGGCTGTGTTTCCACCCCTGGGGCGGTCGATTCCAGGTGTACTGGATATCCCTCCAGGTGAAAGTCAACTGTGGCCTGCACTCTGCTGCTAAAGGAATAGAGAAAAAGGCATTAGCAATGTCAATTGTAGCATACCATTTGGCTGCCTTTGACTCCAGTTCATACTGAAGTTGTAGCATGTCTGGCACAGCAGCGCTCAGTGGTGGTGTGACTTCATTCAGGCCACGATAGTCTACTGTTAATCTCCACTCTCCCTCAGACTTTCGCACTGGCCGTATAGGGCTGTTAAAGGGTGAGCGAGTCTTGCTGATCACTCCTTGGCTCTCTAGCCATCGAATCAGGTTATGGATGGGAATCAGAGAGTCTCGGTTGGTGTGATGCTGTCGTCGATGCACCATGGCCGTAGCAATTGGCACCTGCATTTCTTTAACCCTCAGCAGTCTCACAACAGAAGGGTCATCTGAAAGACCGGGTAAGGTAGACAGCTGTGTAAGATCCGTAGTCTCTACAGCTGCTATACCCAAAGTCCACCAATACCCTTTTGGGTCTTTAAAATACCCTCTCTTGAGATAGTCTATGCCAAGGATGCACGGAGCATCTGGACCAGTCACAATGGGGCGTTTCTCTCATGTGTTTCCAGTTGGGCTCACTTCGGCCTCTAATACAGTCAGTTCTTGAGATCCGCCTGTCACTCCGGAAATAGTGACAGATTCTGCCCGTTTATGATTCACAGAATCACAGAATCTTCAGAGTTGGAAGGGACCTCTAGAGATCATCTAGTCCAACTCCCCTGCTAAAGCAGGATTGCCTAGAGCACATTACTCAGGACTGTATCCACTCCGCAAATAGTGACATATTCTGCCCCTTTATGATTCGAGGGCAATAGGTTACACTGTGCACCAGTGTACACTAGGGCTTTAGACTTTTGTGGCTCTAATGTGCCAGACCATCGAATCCACACAGTCCAATAAATTCGGTTGTCCCTCTCCTCCTCCTGGCTGGAGGCAGGGCACCTCTAATGTTGACCATAGTACCTATGATTAGCAGATGAGTTCCTACCTTGTCTTTAGGATCGCCCAGCGCAGTTTGGAGCAGCCTTCCTCCTGTAAGAACCCTTTCTTCTCTCTAAGTAAAGTTGCTTTACTTAGCAACTGAAGCACCCGTGCCTGTAGGGCTGAGATGGGTTCTCCATCCCACTTCCTCATGTCCTCCAAAGTTGCAGAGGCAAAGACACAAGAAATCTCAGAATAATGTCTTACCCTGCAAGGAAATGAGATCCCAAGGTAGTTAATTTTAATTGATTTCAACCCTTGTTCTTATTTTTTTACTTGAATCAGAATAGAGATGTAACTAATAAAACATAACAAAAGGGAGTTTATAAACAGAACCTAGTAAACATTTTTGGTCCTGATAGAATATGTAGGTAATGAGGCAATACCCAAATAAGGTCTTGATGCAATTGTGTTTTGCTTGCTTGAAGTATTGGGTCTGTTGGGTAAATGCTGTTTTACTTGTGACAAGAATGAGGTTGGTAGTTCTGTAAACCTGACATTCCTTGATTGCAAGCAACTGAGGCAGCCAACAGTAATGACCATCCTACTCTCCTACTCCATTACTCCATTACATCTTCTCAGTGGGCCTCTTCTCTGCTTTGGTGGGAATCCTGGGAGGGTACATTGTGTTAAGTGATGTTAGGAGCAGGCCCATCTCCTCCTGTCACTCCAGCTCAGGACTCCCTCCTGCCCAGCTGCTGGACCCCAGCCCAGGGACCCTGGGTCTATGCTGAGGGATGAGGCTACCACTTTCTTGTTAGCAGGTTCAACCAATAGCAAATCCGACCATATATCCTAGAAAAACAGATGGAGGACACTGACACGGCCAGTCAGACTGCCACAGACAAGGCGCTGCCTTCAGCAGCACCTACATTTAGGACCCACATAAAACATAAGCATAGACAGACAAGTCCCCTGCCTCCTCTTTGGCTGTTAGAGATAGGAGGTCACTAGTGAAGGCCCACACACAATACTCTCTAGATTGACAAGCACACATTTGGGGGATCCCTTGAATACCAATGTGGCCCCTCTGCCCACCCAATACCCATGCCTGGATCCCAGGCCCTCTTACCTTCTGCACAGGTCCCCTACTCACCAGCTAGTCCACTCATCCCACAGGCACTCTACCTTTGCAAGCCCTCCTGGGCATAGCAGCACGGACCCTTATCTGTCTGACAACCCAGCCCGGACCTAAGCCCCCCCCCTCCCAAGCGCTACATACCAATTAGTCCAGCTTGAAGTTTGCTAGTGAATACACAGAATCACAGAATGGTTGAGGTTGGAAGGAACCTCAGGAAGTCATCTGATCCAACCCCCCTTCTCAGGCAAGGCCACCTAGAGTCAGTTGCCCAGGACTATATACATACAGCTTTTGAATATCTCCAGGGATGGAGACATCTCCATCTCTGGGAAACCTGTTCCAGTGCTCAGTGCAAAAGTGTTTCCTGATGTTCACACAGAATATACTGTGTTTCAGCTTGTGCCCATTGCCTCTTGTCCTATCATTGGGCACCACTAAAAAGAGCCTGGCTCCATCATCTTTGCACCCTCCCTTCAGATATTTATACATATTAATAAGTCTCCCCCTGAACCTTCTCTTCTCCGGGCTAAACAGTCCCAGCTCTCTGAGCCTTTCCTCACAGAAGAGATTCAAAAGATTCATAGAATGGTTTAGGTTGGAAGGGACCTTAAAGAACATCTAGTTCCAACCCCCCGCCACGGGCAGGGATACCTTCCACTAGACCAGGTTACTCAAAGCCCCATTCAGCCTGGCATTGAACGCTTCCATGGATGGGGCATCCACAACTTTCCTGGGCAAACTGTTCCAGTGTCTCACCATCCTCATAGTGAAAAAATTTCTTCCTAATATCTAAACTAAATCTACCCTCTTTCAGTTTAAAACCATTACCCCTTGTCCTATCACTAAAGTCTCTGATAGCCCCCCTCCACCTTTTCTGTAGGCCCCCTTTAAGTACTGAAAGACTGCTATAAGGTCTCCCTGGAGCCTTCTCTTTTCCAGGCTGAACAGCCCCAACTGTCTCAGCCTGTCTTCATAGGAGAGGTGCTCCAGCCCTCGGATCATCTTTGTGGCCCTCCTCTGGACTCTCTCCAACAGGTCCATGTCCTTCTTATGTTGGGGGCCCCAGA